GGCGACGACGCGGCAGAGATGTTGTTGGCGTGCTTTCGATCCAGGCGCCGGTACGCTCGCCGCCGCGCCGCCGCACGTAGTAGCTTTAGCGGAACACCCGCCCCAGTAGTCCCCGACGGTGGGTAGCGTGGCGACGAAGCTTGAAGGCGTTCTCGAGCGGGAGCGGCGGAGACGCGCCCGAGCGCGGACGCGACGCGCGCCGCCCCGGTGCACGGAGAAGACCCGCTTCGCCTTCGGCCGCCAGGCCGCTTTGACGGAGCCGCCATTCTCACCGTGGTCGAACCGCGCGGCGCCACGGGTCGGGCTGCTACCACGCCACGATGTGTCGCCACCCGTGGACGACCGAAAGGCGAGAACTCCCCACAGGCGAGAGGCCGGAGACGGAGCCAGCGTGGTCCCGCAAGAAGACCGCCAAACGCCTTGCACGGGCCTGCGGCTCTGGCGCAGCATCATCGCGGCGGGCGACGGGAAAGTGGAGTGGGGTGAGGAGGAGGCGGAGGTGGTGGAGGAGGAGGAGGAGGAGAAGGACGCGAAGGAGGTGGAGGAGAAGGAGAGATCGTGGCCAAAGGTGTAGGTCGCGTGCCACGTCCTCCATGGGCCGCCCAAAGACGCACCCCCCCTCGCCTTCCCCGCCCCGCCTCGACCGCCGCGGCCATTGCTGTGGGCGGTGGGGGGCTCTTAATCTGGTATCTGCTGCGTGTCGTCTGTGGCGTCGGCGGCGGCGCTAGGTCTGAGGGCTTGGGCGGGGTCGGCAAGGTCGGTGCTACTCGGGCCGTGAGCAAGGTTATGAAGCGACGACGACGGTTGCCCATGGTCGTCACGGCCGGGTCCGACGAAGGGGGAGGAGGTGGCCTCGACCAAAGTGGAAGAGGATTGGGGAAAACAAGCGGCTCGCGCGCTAATCACAAGCGCCGCGTGGGTGAGGTTGGGCGCGTTGGGTCGTGGTCCATGGGATTGCGTCTTGGCGAGCGAAGAAAGCGGCTGAGCAGTGTGTGTGCGGTGTGCTTGCATGCGAGTCTGAAAGCACGACGTGACGTGGCGTGGCGTGTGGGCGTGGGCGGTTTCCGGGGATTGAATTGAACACAAGGGAGCCGGTGTTCGGTGTCGCCATGTGAGCGAATGCGTGGTGGGGACGGGAGCGCGACGGGACCATGGGGTCAGTGGCGTCTTGTGCTTTTGCTGTGATGCTCCTGGTCAACAGGTGGTCACCGTGATTTCTTTCGTTCGGCTTCCCTTTCTTTTAGATGCATGGATGCATGTGCAAGTACAAATATTTTTGCATGGTCGGTGAATTGTTTTTATCTTATGGCAAGGAGAGGTATTAAATATGTCCACCTGCCCGACTTGTTTTTATGTGATGGTAGCATGGAATGGAGGCATTAAATATGTCCATCTGCTTTCGACCGACCCTGCGTAGGTGAAGATGTTCAGTGCTTTCAAATTTACTGAGTGAATTTCTAGATAACTTAGGAAGACACTCGTGCATGCATGAAAAATTACTGGCTAGTATCTATTGATGGTAAATTTATTAATATAAAAGGAGAAGGCACATGTGATGTAAATTCCTTCTGTCATAGTAATTTTTTTATGTAAAGGACACGTGAAAGCACAGTGATGTAAATCCCCCCACCGTAGTAACTTTTTGCATGCGAAGTACACTTACAGTTTACATTGTCCTTGCATGCATGGTCATACAATTTTTCATCTACTTCATTGAATGCGTCCACTTGCTTCGTCTATCCACTGCCGAATGCATGGAGGAAGGCCGGTTGTGACGCGCTTTATCTGAGTCGTGGAATTTCTATCTAACGCACCAACTAAATAGAACGTACGTGGACACCCTGGGAGGCCGCCGATTCGGCGTGCCTTTATATCTTTAATTGTTCATTTTTCTTTATGTTCGCCTTCTTAGTCCCTGTTTACCGATGCGCATTGTTGCTCTGATTAGTCATCTCAAACCAGGCTGCATGAGTTTCTATGATTCTAGCGAATTTAAGTAGTAATTGATGTTCCTGCTTTCAACCAAAATAGTTGAATGTCAGGTCTCTTGTTTGGTAAATTATCTGTTTTCCTACTTCAAAACTCTTATACTTATTTCTATCCAGTAAATCATCCATATGCATGTTTTCTAATTTCAGAATGTTTCTTTTGATGAGGAGGTTAGTTAGACATGGAAGAATGAGTTACTCTCGTAGGTGATTAGCCTATTATAGTAAATCCTTATATTCATGTTACACAATTCTGGTATGAAAACAGTAGTAATTTACACATAACGATCAGTGGATTCTCATAATATTTCCTTCTAGTATATTTTCAGTAATACCTATCTTTCTGTATGTTATACTGTCGTAACCAATCATACAACTTATTTACTATAATAGTTTGTCATCTATTTATGGTGATTGATCACACCATTGTGGTAAGTTCAACTGTGGGAATTTGATCGAAGACGCCATCCTCCATAGGAGCTTAGATATGAGATATGTCTGCTGGTTACTGTTCTATATCTTTGTTGACAAAGATCATATATATTTGGATTATTGTAGTACTAGTCTACTTATCAAATATCGATTACTAATGTGTTACACGAAAACAATGCTTATGTCTCTTATAGTTAGCTAAAGCTCTCTTTAACTGATCTTTTTTGCCATAGTCATGGGATTATTATAAATCTGCATCCTAAGTATTTTCGATCCTTAGATGCCAAATTTTTGCTCTTTTCAGCATGATTGTTTTTAGTTCAAGATTGTACAGTTCCAGATTTTATTGCTTGCTAAATGATCATATTATTTACTACTGCTACTGTTTCAGTTTCAGGTGATGATACTTTAGGGGAAATTACCAGGCAACATCTGTGTTTTTTAGTTTAGAGAGTTGCCTTTGGCATGGTTGGTTGATCTTGTCCCTAATATGATTATCCTCAGGCTCCATTTTGCGTTGTCTTAACATTTTTTTTTTGTTCACGTAAATCAAAACAGATCAATCTTGAGCCAGCATATCCATACATGTTGACGTTAAGAATCATATTATTTAGAGAGAATTCCTTATTTGACACTGGGAAAATGAGTCGTTCCTTTCTTGGTCCTGAAATTTTCTTCGTTCCCTATTTGACACTCACTTCAACTTTCATCCCTAATTTGACACTACCGTCAAATCCGTTAGTTAACGGTGTTAACTGGCTGTTAAAAAGGCGTTTTTGCCCCTAGAAAAAAAGCGGCGAAGCAAATTTGAGAGGAAAAAAAAACCTACCCCGCCTCTGATGCATGCGCCCAGCTGCAAAAAAAGGCGCAGGTTTTTTTTCCTCTCAAATTTGCTTCGCCGTTTTTTTTTCTATGGGCAAAAACGTCTTTTTAACAGCCAGTTAACACCGTTAGCTAACGGATTTGACGGTAGTGTCAAATTAGGGATGAAAGTTGAAGTGAGTGTCAAATAGGGAACGAAGAAAATTTCAGGGCCAAGAAAGGAACGACTCATTTTTCCAGTGTCAAATAAAGAATTCTCTCTATTATTTATTAAGATTGTTCATATTTTTTATGATTTCAGGCAATTAGACTTCCCAGCAGCAGCTGCTTATTTACAGAGCAACAAACAGGCATGACCCGTGGCCGACTGATCACAGTTTGCTCACTTGCCAGGCACTAGGTTGCATGTGTTGGAGTAGTGCCGGATAGAAAATGCAAGAAAAGCAACTAATTTTAGATGGTGTAATGTTCAGTTACCTTTTCTGGCACTGTGGTGATGGCATGTTGTATTGTGTACTGTATCAAATACTTGTCATTTGGAATTCAAGCCAATATGATCAAAGTGAAATTGTTTCAGTTTGAACAAAGACGAGTAGTGCCTATAGTCGTAGCCAATTCCTGGAAAGTGGTTTTGCAGCCTAATTGTAGTAACTCTAGTGCCCATCTTGATGAACTCCTTAAGCTATTTGATTTTCTCGTAACCATTTGGTGATAATTCATCTAGTCATTATAGTAAATAGTTTCTCGGAACACTATAGGAAAATTATGGTAACTCTATCGTAGTTACCTTCTCATCAAGCAAATGAAATTCCCCTAACTATTTTACTACAATCGTCTCACTGACACTAGCTTTTCCTGCATACCGCAGGTACAACTAGAGTTGCCAAAATTAACGTCAGCAAATCAAGGAGATAAAGTAGTAACTCGACATCCTAATTACCATACTAGCACGTGCATGTACGCCTCCTGTTACCATACTAGGAAAATGAAGTTACGAGAACCATATGGTACCCCAGCGTGCAGCACGGAGGCTAGCACCGACGGTTAATTTTTTCTATTACCATAATTATTTAACCATGCAATTAATTCCGGCTAGCTCGCTCCATTTATGAGCTTGGCTGGCTCGCACGTGAAATCAGCATCACGCAATTACGGGAACCCACCAGCGCAGGATCTGAATCTGAGTGCGAGCCCTGTGCGGTCGGACGGCCTGGCTACAGAATCACCTTTGGTCCGGACAAATTATTCCACTTGCCTTCAACTTCAATCGCACATCAAAAAGCAACCTGCACGGCTGTACAGCAGCAGTTTGCGGAGCTGGACGGCTTTGTCAAGTGATTGTATGGTCCAGGACATGCGCTTCAGCAGTTAGCCAATTAAAGATTGGAGAGTCGCACATGGGGATTGGAGAGGAGCAGATCGACAGGGACACACGGCCAAGTTCCAACGGAGATAAATTTGGACACTGGTGGAGTATTGGACCTCTAGACAGCGCCACAAAGATAAACCTAATCGTTAGATATCCAGAACGAGAGCCTCAGTATACACATTTTTTTCCCCTGGCGAATACAGATTATTAGCAAGACTCCATAGCATTATACACGATTTCACACCACGCGTCGAGAAATTCTGGTCAATCCCGATTCGACAACAGCAGGGAAAAAAAATTAAACCGAATGCAACAAGTTAAAACACCACGGCATGCATGCAGAGCCTGCTCAACCGACGAGAAACAACATACAGCTGCTGATAGCGTCGTCAATTAAGCGTGTACTTGTCGGCGATGTCGGTGAGGCAGCGCACCAGCTCGTCGGGCCTGGAGAGCATCACGACGTGGTCCGCCGCGATCTCCTTCACCTCGTCCACCGGGTTGTTCTCCACCATCCAGCGCTGGAACTTGTCCACGATGGCGTGGTCCTCCGTGCACACGATGTACACCTTGCGAACCGACCCGTACCTTTCCTTGGTGTAGGGTTGCTGGAGCACCAGGTCCTCCACAAACATCGAGCTCACCCTCAGCAGAGATGCCGCGAGCGTGAGGTCCTGTAGATAAGGTGACGACACATCAGCACGCTGCGTGTGCTTTTAAGATGCGGAAGTGATTTGCACCTGATAGCAAGGCTATGACACGCATCAGCACGCTGCGTGTGGAAGGGAGGACCGGAGGAGACAGCCAGGACCTCTTTAAAATTGCTCCACAAATTCCACCATGAAGTAACTCCAGAAAAAAATCTGGAGCACGCTTTTAGGTGCTCTCTTAACCCATGCGCGCGGTGCACGGGCTCCACATATTATTTTAGAGAAAAGAAAAGAAATAATGAAAGGTGGACTGTTTTTTTATTTGAGAAAAATCAGAGGATGTTTTCGCAAAAAATGATGAGAGTGTCTATGGAGCGCGGGTTGAATTTCGATAAAGTGGAGGTCTTTTTTGCAAACAAACCAGTGCTCATCCGTTCTGGACTGCGCGTCGATTTGGAAATAACATGAGGCGTTTTTTGTAAAAAATTCTGAGAGGACGTCTGGAGCGCGGGTTGATTTCCGAAAACTGAAAGGGGTTTTTCGTAAAACGACCGCGGCTCGCCCGATCTGGACCGTCCGCGCGGCCGATCGAACGGCCACGAAATAACAGCGACGTGGACGCGTTGGCTGAGCGAGCTGGCCACAACGAATCATATCTTTAGATTTTTTTTTCCGATGGTTGAAAATGCTTCCTAACGCTTGTTGACGCTTTCTGATGCCTAACAAAAATAGCTATTTTTATTGTTTTTATTCGTTCAAGGGCATTATGGTCATTTCGCAAAGACAACTCACCGCCCTTGCCGCCCCACCTCCCCTCCCGCCCACGCACTAAACGCTGGCGGAAACGCTGTCGCTGCCTGCCCGACATCCGCCTCCCACAAAGACCGGGCGCCCATCCCCGCCCCGCCTCGCCGCCTTAAGACCACACGCCGAACTTCGCCGGTCTCCCCAATCGCGACGCACCTCGCTCGCGTTTCGCCCTAGCCGCCGCCGTCGCTCGCCTTCGGTTTTACGCAATCATGCGCGGCGTCAGGGCAAAACACGGTCATGTTCGATTATAATCCATCACCAGAGTTCGCTTCATAGCTCGCTCTTGGCCTGCGTGAACTGGGCCGGGTACTGGTGTGACCGGATGGCCGAAGGTGACCTCGTGCGAACCGTTGTGGCGACATTTAGGATTCCACTTCTGCCAGAGACTGGATCCGCCTTCCGGTTTTCCTACAAGTATAGATATTTTGGCTTGCGTCGATGGTTAGGTTATGGCTAAACAAAGACGAAGCAAGGGGACCCATAGGGACATGGGTCCTAACATTTTCCAAGGCTTGTCAATCCAGCCACTAGCGTTGCAAATTGACGACCTGACGACCTAAGAAATACCTGATGCAGGAAAATTTGCCATGTCCTAAAGCACCGATCCAGCGATGGCGAGTTTGCATCTCGGAGGTCAGTGGGGTGGACTTTGAGCTCTTGAAACAAAAATGCCTCCGCCAGGGTTAGGGGCGGATACCATCAATTGGACAAGCTTATTGAGCTTTCTTAATTGACATATTTTTCATAAATGTTTGGTAGCTTTTTTTTTCTTCTGCTGCAACGCATGAACATGTTTGCTATAGTAGTAGTAGTAGTAATAATAATAAAGAGTGAAAGTTTCTCTTCGTTGGTCCCTCGTTTCTCTCTCATTGTTATCGCTTTCACCATCGTTCTCACTCATCTTCTTCCATCGTTTCTCTCTCATTGCTCTCGCTTTCACCATCGTTCTCACTCATTTTCTTCCATCTATTGGTTGTTTGGAGCTGCAAAATCCTTTGCCAGCGCCGCATCACTCATGCCATGGTCTAGACGATTGGACCCGAGCCCATATGTATCACAATATAGCTTGAGTCATGTGAGCATGTGATTCATCTTCCACCTTTCTCAGTCTCAAAATAGCTATGCACAATAGCCGCTTATTTAGCCCGAGTCAACCTGAAGTCAATTTTCTTTCATATAAGATTAATCTTTTATTGCATATAGCATTTATAAGATTGAATTCGGGCTAATTTTCTTATGTCGTCCATATCAGGCCTGGACGTCCCTACTTTGCTAGGTAGGCCCAGATGCAGCTTCTTTGTTTTATCATTTAGATTAGAAGTGTCTTTTTAGCTTTCTATTTTTGTATATGTGTATAAGATTTGTTTAGTATAAGATTTGTTTATCCGGTTTCCTTTCAGTTTCTTTGTTTTAATCTTTAGATTAGAAATGACTTTTTAGAATTCAAAAATAAAGAAAAGTCTTTTTAGATTTTTTTATCACTACTGTATATATGTGTATAAGATTTGTTTAGCCGGTTTTCTTTTAGGAATTCTAGCGGAGGCAGTTGTACAACGACCTCGGGCTTTATTTGTTCTCCTGCAAAGTTTCATGAACCTGGTTCTGATTGCTTTGGGCAATTGAGCAAACGTGAACTCCATCGACCCACGGAGCGATCTTGATGGCCGCCCGGTTCTGGTTGCTTTGGGCAATTGAGCAAACGTGAACTTCTTCGACCCACATTTTCCACAGAGCCGGGGTAGAAGTATGCGCCACAGAGTGCTCTTGGTGGCCGCTTGGTTGTCCGTCTTCCTCCGTTTCTTCCACCACCAGACTTTCTCCCCCGTCTCTCAATAGCCTATTCGCTTGTTGGTTTCGACAGAGCTTATCAGCCAGCCAATAGTGTTTTCCTCTCACAACAAACCAGCACTAGCCGGGTTTATCAGCCTAGAAACCAATCAGCGTGATGGCCGTCTGGTTTGGCAGACAATACTCGTCTTCCTTCGTTTCTCCCACCGTCTCCCCAGACCCTCAATCCGTTGTCCCTCATTTTCATCATTTTTGTGCTTTGATTTTAGAGTTGTAAAACCTTTATTGACGCCGCACCATTCATCTAATGACTTCTCTCCCTAAACCCGTGTGTAGTTACGTGGCTTGTGTAGCTATGTGGCTCGTTTTTCACCTTTCTTAAACTTACAGTAGATTGTATGGTCACCGCTGGGTGGGGGGCGTGTTTTGGTCCGGACAAATTGTCCCGCTTGCCTTCAACTTCGATCGCACATCAGGAAGCAACCTACACGGGTCAGTACAAAGAAGCGGCTTATGGAGTGGGACGGCTTTGTCAAGTGATTGTATGGTCCGGGACATGCGCTTCAAAGAAGCTTAGCCAATTAAAGATCGGAGAGTCGCACTTGGGGATTGAAGAGGAGCAGTGTGTGTGTATATATATATATATATATATATATATATATATATATATATATATATAGAGAGAGAGAGAGAGAGAGAGAGAGAGACCAAAGTATATATGGCCACCGCTGGGTGGGGGCCGTGTTTTGGTCCGGACAAATTGTCCCGCTTGCCTTCAACTTCAATCGCACATCAGAAAGCAACCTACACAGCTGTACAGCAGCAGATTGCGGGGCTGGACGGCTTTGTCAAATGACTGTATGGTCCAAGACATGCGCTTCAGCAGTTAGCCAATTAAAGATTGGAGAGTCGCACATGAGGGGTTGGAGAGGAGCAGATCGACAGGGACACACGGAAGTTCCAACGGAGATAAATTTGGACACTGGTGGAGTACTGGACCTCTAGACAGCGCCACAAAGATAAACCTAATCGTTACAGGTATCCAGAACGAGAGCCTCAGTATACACATTTCCCCCCCTGGCGAATACAGATTATTAGCAAGCCTCAATAGCATTATACACGATTTCACACCACGCGTCGAGAAATTCTGGTCAATCCCGATTCAAAAACAGCAGGGAAAAAAAATTAAACCGAATGCAACAAGTTAAAACACCACGGCATGCATGCAGAGCCTGCTCAACCGACGAGAAGCAACACACAGCTGCTGATAGCGTCGTCAATTAAGCGTACTTGTCGGCGATGTCGGTGAGGCAGCGCACCAGCTCGTCGGGCCTGGAGAGCATCACGACATGGTCCGCCGCGATCTCCTTCACCTCGTCCACCGGGTTGTTCTCCACCATCCAGCGCTGGAACTTGTCCACGATGCCGTGGTCCTCCGTGCACACGATGTACACCTTGCGCACCGACCCGTACCTTTCCTTGGTGTAGGGTTGCTGGAGCACCAGGTCCTCCACAAACATCGAGCTCACCCTCAGCAGAGATGCCGCGAGCGTGAGGTCCTGTAGATAAGGTGACGACACATCAGCACGCTGCGTGTGCTTTTAAGATGCGGAAGTGATTTGCACCTGATAACAAGGCTATGACACGCATCAGCACGCCGCGTGTGGAAGGGAGGACCGGAAGAGACAGCCAGGACTTCTTTAAAATTGCTGCACAAATTCCACCGTGAAGTAACTCTAGAAAAAAAAAATCTGAAGCACGTTTTTAGGTGCTCTCTTAACTCTATTTTTTTTAAGCTACACCTATTTGGTTGAAAAATATGGAGCGAAACTGAAAAATGTGGAATGGAACAGTCCCAGATAGGCTCTTAACCATTTACTTTTCAAATGCTCAGTAGCTATGGTCACCCGGTGCTGGATCAGAGATAGCCTGAATTGGCCTTGTAGCCTGACTTCTTTGTAGAATTTCGTGCTAGCCGGAATGTGTTGGACAATTTGGAAAACCAAGAATAATCCGGTGTTCTCAAATAAAATGGCAAAATCAACTAAACATAATGCTTACTACAAGGCTTTTGGGTTTGTTTACAGAATGGAAGATCTTAGCGAGGACGGAGGGATGATACATCACCTGGAGAAGATGCTGGAAGACTTGAAGACAGGACTAACAAAGTGGTGAAGAGCTATTGTTACCACACACACCAAAAAAGAGCTATGGTTTGTTACTTGACATATTTTTATCCGTTTTTACCAGTTTTTTGTGTTCATTCAATAGGCCTTTTTGATATTTGACATATCTTTTTTATATGTTTTCTATCCGATTCTGTTTAGGTCTTGTTTGGATGTATGTGTATTCTCATTGTAACACGGCCTCCGAGAGAGTAGGAGACCTCGCGATCAGCGAGCTCGCAGAGACGTCTCCGACCGATCACCTAAGCGAAGGCCCAGCCACCATGCCTCCAGACCACGACCTGGAAAGATAATGATTTCTCGAGGATCGTGCTCTCGCAGGACGCCAGCATGCATGCAACCATGGCAGCCCTCCGCCCGTTAAGCGCGCAGCACCTCTCCGGCGAAGAGGGCGAGGTCCGCCCAATCGATAGGCTAATCAAATGCCAACGCCTAATATGTGTGTGCGGTAAGCAAAGGAAGGCGCTCATGGATGGCGCGCATGCTTCAGTTCGGCCTCCGCTCATATGGACGGAGGCCCGAGCAGGAGCACGGCCCGAACAGGCGTCGGAGGTCGGTGGCTTTCAAGCGTCCTCGAGGCGGAGACCATGCAGGCGGGGGCCCGAGGGTTCATCGCCGAACCCTGGGGCTAGACAGGCGGAGAGCGACGGTGGAGGGCCAAAGACCCATCAATGAATCCTGAGGCCCGCTAGGCCGGTTGGTCACGCAGGCCCAGTATCTGATGGCGGCGTGGCAAGATTACCCCAGAGACAAAGAGCAAGTAGAGGAATATTCCCGTAATGTATCAGCAAGCAGCTTGAGGAGCACTGTTGTAAATCTGCAAAAGACGATAATTGAGCCCTATAAATAGGGAACACTTGTAACAGTACAAGTGGGTGGTGAAGGTATTAATGAAACCATAGCATTACGTGTCACTCCCTTACACGTCCACTTGCCGTGCCTACCCTTCCAAGCTTCCGCCCGATTACTGCACTCATCGGACGGAGGCCCCTACCACTTCCTCACAGTCTGAGACCGCAAGTCTCAACATATTCACTTCAATCCATTGTGTTGAAGTGGAATGGAAATGTAACTTAATTTAATTCTACTCCAATCCACTTTAACACGCGTGGAATAAGATAAATACATACACATCCAGACAAGGAGTTTTGTGGCACCGCAACACCTGATTGGCCAAGAATGTGTTAAGTTGTTGACAGATTTTGCCCCACTGCCCACAGATGTGGCGAGTGTTGACAGATACCTACGTCCAGATGGTCCTTCTAATAATAATAATAATAAACTATGGCTGTCGACAATGAATAGGTACGGTGCTGTTCGTCGTCAAGGTCCATCCACGGCAGTTGGCATGCACAGCGATATTAACTCCATTCACTGTGCGCGCGTGCAAATAGCCAAAATAGCTGTCCTTTAAGTCGAGGATGACGCCGACGCGAATGGACATGGTGTCCTCTTTGATGCACACTAGCTAGTAGCTACTGATCCAGTGATCGACGAACGTTTCCCTTTCAACTCGATTCGCATGAGCGGCGAAAAAAAATGCAACTAGCTTGACTCACACGAAAGATAAACAAATCAGACTCGTGCATAGGCACGAGAGGCACGTACCTCGGGCGAGCAGAGCTGTAAGAACTTTTCTCGGATGATCCGGGCCCCGAACATCATAGACATGGGGAGCTTGCCTTCGGCGTCCTGGGGCTTCATCTCCGTGTCCATCGAGTCCAGCCACTTCCCCTCCACGAACTTCATTCATTCGTTTCATCAAAAATCAAAAGGCGAGAGATAGACACAACAATGATCAGTTCCTCATTTTCTTTTGAACAAATTGAGTAAAATTCATTCACGCTGAAAAAGCGCTGTTCCATACGAACAACTGAACAGGAAGCAAGCATTGTTCATCGAGTCATCGTAGCAAGTGGACCAGTCGCTTTACTCTATTTCTACCAGAAAAAGACATCTCGTATCGATCTTCTCGACGGGCAAACTCACGAAAATGACACACACCACCACCAGGAGCGGGGAACATCTCGAATCTAGGAAGAGAGCAGCCGGCCAATCGCGGCTGGCCTCTCACCTTTTCCATCACGTGCGACGGCCGCGCCGCGCAGTCAGGCATGAAGGCGCAGAGGAACACCACGGCGGCGACCTTGTCCGGGAACGTCTCGGCGGCCAGGGCCACGTTCACGCCGCCGAGGCTGTGGCCGACGAGCACCACGCGGTGGCCCTCCGGCAGCGACGCGAGGAGGTCCAGCAGCGGCTGCGTGTAGTCCCGGAACGTGGGCACCTCCCGCAGCGGCCGCGGGTCCACGCCCGACGCCGCCAGGTCCGGCGCATCCACGCGGTACCCTGCCGCGCGGAGCGGGGTGGCCACCTTGAACCAGGACCAGCCGCCCAGGCACGCGCCGTGGACCAGCACAATGTGCTTATTGCCGCAGCCGCCCTGGGCCGCCGCGGGAGCGTCCATTTTTTGTGATTTGTGCTGTGGAAGAAGAACACTAGCTAGACAACCCCAGCTCTCTTATATATGCGCGCGCTCGCGCGTGGCTCACCTCACCTCTTGTGCAGCTAGCGATACGTGGCTCGATCGGTCTCGGAGGTGACGGGTTTTATCCGGACGGAGGTGACGGGTTTTATCCGGACGTTGAGTATGTGTTGTAATGTTTTTTTAAGTGTTTTATGTGTTTTTTTTTAAGTGTTTCAGATGTATGTTTCAAACGTATGTTGTAAGTGTTGTATCTGGATATTTTAAAAGTAGATCGGGTGTTGCATCTCTCTCCTCACCTTCTGTTGCCTCGCCTTTGATGTCTCCTTCTCACCTTCTGCTGTGCCTTGCATCTTTCTCAGACTAAGGAGAGGGCGTGCAGGGGATGGCGGAGCGGACGCGAGCGCACGCTCTCCTCCCCTGTTACGCGGGTAGGTAGTGTTTTGGTTCACTTTTTCTGTTACGCGGGGATGGTTAGATGGGATGCGCTCGTTGGTAGGCCTGTGACTGAAAGCTGAACCACGGTTTGGTTGCCTGAGACTAAGAGCTGCATCTGGACACGCTAGTGGCGTCGATGTCCAGGAGCTAGTGCTTCGGAAATTAAAAAGAAGTTGTTTACGAGAAGCCAAATCCGTGGCCCCCTCTTTGATTTATGGACGGATGCATCTTGGTTTTGTCTGCAAGGAAGGTACCAATCCCAACTAACCGTAACCATCTTCGGAAGATGCACGCAAGGAATCCATGCATTGCTGCCGGCCCAATTACTAGCGTCAAACAGGAATTGCGTGTTCAAGATCACGTGTTCACATTAGATAGAGGGTGTACATGATCCGGTCACACCAGTACCCGGCCCAGTTCACGCAGGCCAAGAGCGAGCTGTGAAGCGAACTCTGGTGATGGATTATAATAGAACATGACCGTGTTTTGCCCACATACGCCGCATGATTGCGAAACTGGAAGGCAGAGAAGGCCGCCGCTTTCGGCGACCGGCAGGATCCGCCACCGCTTTCGGTGACAGAACCAAACGGGCCGCACCAAGAGATGACAGGGGCAATAGCAGCTACTTGGTGTTCTGTAATAGGTAGTGCAATGTAAACTTGGTGCCGAACAACAAACGTGATTTGTAAACTCTTCAGGCTACTTCAGAGCCACTATCTCTGCTTCCCAGGTGCTATGCTGATGCCTCCTTGTTACCTGATCAATCGTCTCTGCCACCCAGAATAGCAGGACTTGGAGTGTTCTTTGTCAATCCACAGGTACAACCCTAACACAGATAATCTACATCAGGGCTCATGTCTCAGGTATTCACTCTGTTCTCATGGCGGAGGCCGCGGCTCTAGCCCTTGCAGCAACACTCAACGACTGACTCAACTTCAACAACACGACGTATCTATCTGACTGTCAGCAGCTAGTTCACTTTCTCAACGCAGCGGATCAAAATCATCCTCCAGACTGGAGGATCAATTCTTTCACCTAGCTGTTCAGGAACTGCGCTGGTCGACGTCAAGCTAAGATCTTCATAATCAATAGGAATCTTAACACTACGGCTGATGCTTTAGCTAGATAGGCATTCCATGCCTCAGTTGCTGTTGCTTCATCTTTTCAGCCTGTGTGCTCTTATAGTACTCATCGTAGTCAGTGCCCGCTCCTGGATGCACTGCAATGTGTAAACTTACAGTCTGTTAGAATGTGTAAACTTACAGTCTGTTAGAATGTGTAAACTTACAGTCTGTTAGTCTGCTTGCAGCTTCTTGCTGCTGAAATGAAATTGTTTGTTGTAAAAAAACAGGAGGCGACAGCGCAAAATGCGTTTTTGGTAGCGCTAGCGGCCTAGCGCATGAGCTAAATCGTTGCGGGTGCTTCCCACGGACTCTGCACACGGGAGCACCTG